GCCAAGACGGTGGGTGCGGAAATGCATATTGAAGACCACCTGCATGAGGGTGTCTATCTGGCTGAAATGGGCCCTTCGTACGACACAAAAGCAGAATCTCGATTTTCCAAATTAATCGGTGCTGATGCGGTTGGAATGAGCACAGCACACAAGACCATTGTGGCAAAGCACGTTGGCATGAAGGTCTTTGCCATTTCAGTCATTACTGACAAAGTCGTCCTTGATGAAGACTTTGAAGTCATATACACTCACGAAGAGGTTCTCCGAACTGCTGCTAAATGTGCTGAGATGATGAAGTCGCTCTTGATTAAAATGCTTGATAGGCTGTGAAGCCGAATGCTTCGCTGTTGTGTTAAATCATCGTGCTTTTATGCCTTTTTCCTACAGTTAGTGTGTAACCATCTTAATTTCTGTCTCAATCAGTTTGGACTTCATATTTAGTACATACGAATAAAAATGTTTGTTAGAATTCCTTTTTACATGATTACTATTGTTGGTTTGCTTTCGTTTAATCACATACCAACTGGCTAGCTGATCAACCTTTCGACGACCAGTCGTCATCACCAATGCATGGACTTCAGCCTTTCTCTCCTTCTGTATGTAGATGATTGCCCCTTTGCACTGACGTCCAAGAAACCCTTCTCGTAGAATTTATTAGTGCATTGTGAAAATTAATTTTCTTAGGATGGTATCAAAGTGAGAAGTTTTTATATAATCTAACTTTACGGTTAAGCAGTCGGGTTTCTCTTTGAAAGGGAGCTGCGGATGGCGTTTATTAGTTGCCTTTGGTGCTTGAACTTGGCAGTAAAACTCAAGACATGCAGGAGTGAAATTAATCACTGGTGTCTTAGTCTTGTAAATGTTTGTAACTTTTTAGCAATGAATGCACTTTAGTACTTCTGAGAGCGTTCCACAACCTGATAAATATTTATACGTCCAGGCTGGTGGATCTGCAGTGGGTTGCCCATGGGCTGAACTAACCAAATGAAAATGACGGTTGAAGGCTACCAGACTTGGTGCATGGGACTTGGAGCATATGCCAGGGTCACCACTGTATCATCCTACTTGATGGTACACTTGAATGCGAAGAATAGGTATTGCTGTTGGAACTAAATTAGGGTAACGACTTCACTTTCTTCTTATAATCATCAGAGTAGTAAAAAAGCATTTCAAGCCTTGGCTGAGCTGACTCACCACTACAGCAACTTTGCCTCACTAAAACGACTTTGTAGGAGAATTTCAATCTTTCCCATTACTCCTGTTACTGACTCCCAAAGTCCCTTGGATGTGGCGTGAGTAAAATGAGAACAGTAATTGATTGGAGTTTTCATAAACAAATGTGGATGTTACCAACACTATATTTTTCGTAAAAGGGATGTCGTAAATTTCGTGGATTTGTGAGTGAAAGAGGTGCTGTCAACAACAATGGACTTCAGCTACCACTTGCTACCCTAGGTTGGGAAGCATTTGGAGGATCAGCTATATGAAGTCATTTGAAAGTGTTACTTAGGCAAAGTGTCAGGTTGCATGAAGTATGTCCGTTACTTTTACCTCAGTGATATTTTCTAAGGCAAAAATAAGTCGTGTCAAGACACACTAGAACGGAAGTAAATCACAACTCCACCCAGTGAGAATGTGAGAGGGATTTTTTCTCCTCCGCCTGCCAAATACAGAAGCCTCATCTCGCCTTAGCCTCATTTTTGAATACGTGATGGGCATGTACAATGGGATTAAATACTTTGTGTTGTGGGTAACATCTTAAGATGAATTCAAGTAAAACACTGCCATTCAGTCATGAATTTCCATGTAGACTGCTTTAAAGTCTTGTTTTTCTTTGCAAAGTCTAAACCTTCACTTTATACACCTCTCAGCCTTGAACTAGAAAGGATATTTGTCACGTCAACTCGACCATAAATCAGACTTGGAGGCCTTTCCTATAACCTCCACGCATTAATTTTGTGTAAATTAGTCCACCATTGTATCGCCTAAGCAACAAATCTTTGTAAACTTCTACTCTCCACTGCTTTTTGAAGCACCCTCAAATCAGTTGCTTAATACAGCCTTTAAGTTTGTGAATTACGTAATTAACTCCACTAATGAAAAGGACAGTTGCGCATTTCGATTCCAAAGGTAGTAAATTTTCTGCCTAACACGTGGGCGATCCCAACAGCAACATTTAAGTAAGCAATATTTATACCCAAATGTATATTGCCTTTACCACAATGAGCAAGTCAAGCGGTGAGCGCTTTGTAATCGGAAATAAATGTGTCTAGTCAAACATCTTGGCAATGATGTGTGTCGAAGTCAAAGAGCCGCCAGAACACGAGTAATCAGCGTTGCCATTGTATCGCCTCGATGAAGACCCATTTGAAGTACTTCCTCATGACTTGTCTTTTGCTCGTGATCAATTTCGAACATCTCACGATTGGCAACAAGGGAGAGAGCGAGAACACGCATTCCAGCGTGATGGGCCACAATGGTCTCCGCTGTAGTGCTCATGCCTGCTACATCGCCGCCCAACATTTGCAACAGTCGCGCCTCCGCCGGTGTGTCATAAGTGGGGCCGCAACAGCATACATACACGCCTTCGTGCATCAGCTTTCCGATTCCCATTTCCTCGGCCACGCGCTGGGTGAGCGATCGTAACTCCTTGGAGTATATATCCGACAGGGCGGGGAACCGAGGGCCAAACCTATCATTCGTTGGGATAATTAAAATTAAGTTGTCAAATCGACTATTTAAAGAGTGGTCTCAATATTATCAAACATTTGATCATTGAAGAATCTATTGAGTTTTATTGGGAACATGATTGGGAGGAACGTCAAGCTACGGTTGCGGTATTCTGTGAGTCGAAAGTTGGGCTTTACTTAAGAGGCTACCTCATGACTATGCGTTGAAGTGATCTGCTCTCTCACCTCTCGTCATTGAGTCCTGTCAGAGGACTAATTCCAGCTAATGCAGGAATACTGATGTGGTCCTTCAAAATCATAATGTCTCCAGCATCGTAATTCGGGTGCAGTCCGCCTGTCGCACTGATTGCAAAGAAGTATTCGCACTCCATTAGACGCATCACCCTCACCGGCAATGTTATCTATGCAAGTTAGAACACAAAAATATAGTCTGAAAGCAAGTCTGATTTGGTTGTGAAAGAAAGAAAAAGGAAATGGTAAATAAAAGTAAAATTGTACAGACGTGTGAGAGCAATACAGACTGTGTCGGACAGGAAGGAAAATACATCGATTTAGGGAGTTACATACTTAAAGCGAATAATGGATAGCTAGTCAGACTCATGGAAGCAAGCACCTTAAAGGGAATCCTGAAGTAATAGATTGACCCACCATCGACAAACGATGCGCACGTTATTAGGTATAGATAAAAGACAAAAAAACAAGTTGGCATAAAGACATACCTGCTGCTGAGAATAACCCTCGTAGGCATGGAATCGACCCTGCATCACCATCACATTCTTCCCACCCAACGTACCAAACACCAAATTCCCCTTGTGCCCCTCCACTGAAGACGGAGAAAAGAGTAGTGAAGGAGGACGAATAAGAGGTGTCAACTGATGGGACGAAATTTGTCTGCCTACCAGTGGTGTGTGGAAATCCAGGAATGTCTTTGTAAGGAACGATAATCGGCTTCACGATACGGTTGGCCAATTGACCCAAACCCGAGCCACAAATTATGCCCACCAAAGGTGTAATGTTGACTCTGGCTCGAAGGAACTCGCAAATCGCATTCGCCTCTTCATACGTGGCCATAGTGCACTAGAGTGGGTGGAATGAGTGAGGCTGCTGTGCATCCACCTCATGGCGCACCTTAAGAGTATATATATAAGTGCTTGTGTCGGCAAATGGCAATCAATTTTCCGTGTTATTCAAGTTTGTCACCTTGTTATTAATTGCGCAGTCTGGCCAAGAGTGCACCATTCACTTAAACATTGTTGTTGACTCCCTTCGTTGACTATCCAATTGGAATTTTTCCATTGAATAAACGGAAGCAGACATGTTGCCATCAATCATTCGCATAGTAAGCGGTTCAATTTTCCGGCATTGTTACACTCATTCTTCAAATCTGTACCTTGAGATTCCTGTCAACTTCTTCTGGCAACTCTTTGAAGCTATCAAAGAAAGCTTAATGGGCTTGATGGCAATGCCAAGTGTTCACAGCGGAGCTAATCGGAGCTCTGACTAGGTCTTTGGCTTACAGACACCCACGCAGGTTACGACTTCACCGTTTCATTAATGGCCTTAGGGCTTGAAGGCTTGTTGGGGAATCCTTGTACACATATTGCATAAGCATGAAAATGGCGCCTACCATCCCACCTAACTGACATTTCAGCACCGCCTTTCACCTAAAATTCCAGTTTAACTTGAGCCTTTTTGCACATCAAAAGTCATTGTCATAAAAATACAACAGTCTAGGTCCTTTATGAATGCAGGTGAAGTGGTAAAATTGCGACGAAGAAGGAGGCCCGAACAGTCGAACATGTCGACGAGAAGGAGGAAAATTACAGCACTTTTAGTCTATCCTTTGGCAAAACAAGGAGGTAAGCAGGCAGTAATAGTGTCAAAAGGTGATTTTGGTCTAGATCAGAGCCCACAGTGACTTCACTGGTAGAATAAACACGAAACTGCTTTTATTTGTGAGCTGAGGATAGTTCCCGCCTTTACCATTAGATTAAAGGTAAAAAGCCTCACATTAGAACCCAAACAGGATAAACGATGGAGAGAGACCGATGAATAAGTAGGGTGCAAAATGCCATAATATAAAAATTCGTTTTGACATTCCCTTCATTGAAACCTGAGGATATGTCTACTGGTCGCATAATAGTAGAACAGGAGTTGGGACTAAGCAGTCTGGGTGGAAGTAAGAGGGAGGGCGGGTAAAAGTGGAATTGCAGGAAGAAGTTGTAAACGATCCTTTCCACTCAGTCACTTCATCTGTTAGACAAAAGATGACTTTTTATGGCTGAGGCATTCTTTAAGGACCCAAAGACGGGTACGAAAATATGTAATTTTAGATTTAGCATATCCAGATCTCCCAAACTGCACCTTTTTTAATTCTTCTCCTACATGTAGTGGTTTCCGTGTTTGTGACATGATTGCCCTTCCAGAGGATGTATTAACGACTGTCTAATGAGGAATTAGAGAGGTCAACTAGAAAGAAAAAGGCATAAGACCTTCAGAGGAAGGTAACATTAGTGAATATGAGTGCTCTAGCATAGACAGTTCTACACTCTTATGGCGGGATCTGCAGTGTTGGCCACTTGTCTCTCCTCATCAAATTTAGACAATCTCAGTATTTATATCTGCCCCATCATCATTTTGGTAGCTCAACGAAGGTGCGTGAAAGAGCTAAAAGGTTGACGTAGTCAGATTTAGTGGGTGGAGAAGACGGCGAGGTCGCATTGGGACCACAATGACCACCAGGCGCGCAATACTTGAGAACCAAATCGGTAAGAATTAAAACAGGATCGAAATATTTTGTCAAGACTTAGGCATCAAAATACCGTTCACTACGTTATTTAAGAGTCAGACAGTTTTTTTCTTTCGAATTTCAGAGATCACATGAACTGGAGACGCATAAAGGAAGGCAACTTCTCTTCCCTTGGTTGCAGATAAGGAGACGGTGACTTAAGAATCCGAAAAGATTGGAAACAAGACAAGGCTTAAAGGAGATCGTGCAAAGAAATTAGCTAGGCACCACTACCCCCTCCCTTTTGGTCTTACGAGTACAAACTATCGTGATGCAAATATAAACCGGAAGCAGATTTGATACATAAAAAGGTGTTAAAAATCAACTGAAGTAACCAATCAGAATGAAGTAAATTTGAACACAACAATAAATGCCTCGGCATTTCAGACGCCAGGAGGCCTCTTTGGAGAGCATTTGAACACAGACAAATACACAATCCACAAACACGGTTTGTTCGATCATGGCTTCCTATGAAGAAGTAAATGCGATTTGCGAGTTCCTTCGAGCCAGAGTCAACATTACACCTTTGGTGGGCATAATTTGTGGCTCGGGTTTGGGTCAATTGGCCAACCGTATCGTGAAGCCGATTATCGTTCCTTACAAAGACATTCCTGGATTTCCACACACCACTGGTAGGCAGACAAATTTCGTCCCATCAGTTGACACCTCTTATTCGTCCTCCTTCACTACTCTTTTCTCCGTCTTCAGTGGAGGGGCACAAGGGGAATTTGGTGTTTGGTACGTTGGGTGGGAAGAATGTGATGGTGATGCAGGGTCGATTCCACACCTTTGAGGGATACACGCAACAGCAGGTATGCTATAAACCGTTCTCTCATTAATCAACCTATCTAGGTATCTAATTTAATGCCTCTTCTACGCGCTCGCTTATGCATTTTCCGGTCCTTCGCTTGAATAGTCCAATTTCTTGTTGCCTTCTTAACTCGATGGCTTGAACACTTCCATTTGTGTGTAATCTTGCACATCCCTTTCCGTAGATCACACTGCCAGTGAGGGTAATGCGCTTATTAGGATGTGAGTACTTCATTGCGACCAACGCTGCAGGTGGTCTGCATCAGAACTACGACATTGGAGACATTATGGTGGTGAAGGACCACATCAGCATACCTGCACTGGCTGGAATCAGCCCACTTACCGGTCCCAACGATGAGAGGTGATGGATTTTTCCAACATTTTCATGCATAATTAGGGACTGCATTTACCATTCCCAAAGTACACGGTTGTGCTTTAAAAGTCCACAGGGAAGAGCCTTCACGACTCCTCCTTTATTATTGCCTATTTTAAGGGGGAAAACGGTATTGTAGTGCTTCAAATCCCTAAAAATAAATTTTTACAAACTTAACTGCAAACTCTTGAATTTTTCCCCCAACTTCATTTTCATTGTCCAATTGACGCTCTATGTCCATCGTCCATTACAACGATCCAGCCATTCGTTCGTCCATGCAACCTTTCAGTCTTCTTACTCAATACTTGGTTTTCCTTCGGACTGAATTAGGTTCGGTCCTCGATTTCCGGCGCTCTCGAACGTCTACGTAAAAGATCTGCGCGACCTGACCATGCACGTGGCAAAGAAGATAGGTATCGGGCAGCTGATGCATGAGGGTGTGTATATGTGTTGTTGTGGTCCTACCTACGATACTCCAGCGGAAGCGAGAGCTCTGCGACTGCTAGGTGCTGATGTTTTGGGAATGAGCACCACAGCCGAAACAACCGTAGCACATCACGCGGGAATGCGTGTGCTCGCAATCTCCCTCGTTACAAATCGCAACATCTTGGACATCGATCAGGTTGACAAGACGGACCACGAGGAGGTTCTAGAGATGAGTCGTTGTCGCGGTGACACGATAGCCACGTTGCTCACTCATATTATAGCTGCTTTGTAATTGCATTTTGACTGAGACTTAGCTGATACTCTGATGACTTGATTTGTTGCTTTTGCATTTTATGCATTGCAATTTGGTGATTAGAGAGTCATCTTAAATCTTGACGGTGTAGGGCTTTTTTAAATTTTGATAAACCTTCATCCGTCTCGGCTCTGACAGGCGCTGCCTCTTAGTTTGTGAGGCCATGTCACGACGATCAGATGCCATGTGTTTCAACAAAGCCACAGATTGCTCGAAAACTTAGAAAAGACAATATTTCTAAGATCTGATCACTTTATTAAGCGATAGCTGCTAAAGCCAGTGGCTATGTTAAAAGTTCTTAATGATGACAATTTTACTCTCACTAGCAAATGGTGTTGAATCAGGTTTTGGTGTTAAGATTCAAGAGTTGGTAGTTGTTTTCCGATTGTCCAACGGAGTAGTCCATTGTCCAGAGGATGAGTGTAGAGTTCGGGATTTTCTACATTTTTGTCTGCGTAGGATTATTTTGAATGACTAGAAAAGCTACTCAACTTCGCACTTCAGTAAGGGCCTTTAAAAATTGAAATTTTAGCGTTGCTTTAAGCAACAAATATTGTCTGCAAGTCAATGCTAAATGTGATGTATGGACGACTTGAAGATTTGGAAGATATGCATATGGTTGTAGAGCCCCTAGACTTTCCTCAGGCAGAAGACATCATGCTGGGCGCAATGCATGAAGTCCATGGGGCAAAGAAGGCATAGGATTTTGGCATGGCTCAAAGATCAGCCCACGCGTTCAAGAGCAAAACAAAAGCCAAAGTAACAGCCAACTATCAAGTGATCACATAAGCAATGTATTACGGCGATGCCCATTCCATTGCAGGTTAAAATTAGTGACACTATTCTTTCTGACAAAACTTAGGCACTTGGTCGATTGAAACCCACTTTGATGTCTCACACTGCGTCTCCGCTCACCGGCATGACCTTCAGGTTAAGACAGATGCACTAGACAGAAATGATTTCGTACAGACAAAGGAGGTACTTTAGGCTAGAAGGTGGCATCACTGCAATAAAAAGGACCATCAAAGCAAAGTAATTTGTTTAAATTTTTACATTTTAGATATTTAAGTTATGCGTTAACACGCAAAATTTGCATAATGCAAATGCATTGACAGTTTTTAAGTAAACACTTAGTCTTATTGACACCGGAAGTACTCTTTTTAAGTGCTGATTATCAAAATGAGCAAAATTAAAGTAAATTACTCGCTAGATTATATTAAATATATTTATTGAGAGCCATTTTTAGGCGAACTGCTTTTGACAAACTGTTCTACTCACAACTACTTTGATTAGAAGACTCTGGAGTTCTTATCCAAATTAAATTTGCAATAGTCGTAGTCGATATTGGAAAGAGTATATGCAGTTTTGAGCATCTTCTTTAGGCACTTCTTTAATCGCCAGCAAAATTTACTTACGCTTAGAACCCCGAACTATCATTATCCCACAGCAAGCACCATTAAAATACACTTTACTTCAAGATCTACGGGAAATATCGTATGTTGAAGGCAGAAAAGCTGCGATAGGACCCAGCCACCCCCAACCCGCTCACTCGGCACTTCCAAGCTATTTTGCTATCACACGCTACCAACAATTAATAGCAATCGCATATATCCCCCTATGCGATTACGACCAGACATGGCCACAGAAAGGAATAAACATCCTATATAAGTACCAGGACCAGAGCCTAGACTCGACGCATTTAAGGCACCTACGGCGAATGCACAGTCTCCCACCCCCACCAGATTGAATTCAGTGCCATCACGTAATCACGCGTCTCCAGTTTTCAAGGTTGCATTGTAAATAAAAGACGATTTAAATATTAAGCTTCAATTCCTAATCTACAGTATAGAAATTATTAATGTGAATAATTATAATCGCAAGTGTCTTTGATAAAACTAGTGATTAGCATTCATAAATTTAAGCACATAGATCTCGCATGCACATTAAGAGGACGCATCTGTTCACCTCCATTCTCTTAATCCAAGCGCAATTTTGTAGTTCTACCTGGCGATTCGGTTATTAATGATTAACCCATATAACGTACTAATGGCAAAGGCAACATAATCTGTTTAATCACTTATTTGTTTATGTACATTCTTGCCCACTCAGCTAAAAGATTCGATACATGATCAGCCTGCCTTTGTGTTGCATCCACCGAAGATTGGATTTTGTGATTGCTCTATAAGAGAGCTGTCTCTTTATAATACATATTTATGAAAATACAAGCATCTAACTTCAAATCTTTTAATAAGACAAAAAAGCTCCTGCTGATTTGACGCCTATCAGCAAGATAGCTTCGAATTTGCCTATTTTTGAAGTGCGTAGCTTTGTTTTCATTCGATTATCAATGGTCTATGGCACAGGTATCTGTAGATCAGGCTTCCATTATGAAGTAGCTCTTAAATTTGTATGAATAAACTTTTCCACCATCGAATATACTAGCCTCTGTCGCGTGAACTCACTGCCAACCATTTCTTTTTTACTAGGCAGCACGTAAGGTTGCCGTCCTCGCGTCTCACAAAGCACTCCATCAGTAAAACCATTTGTTTGCTCACTGCTGTCCTACGTCATGTGTAGCACGTGACTGGTTCCTTGGTTAGGTGTCAAGATGCATCTCATTCGCCCTGGTGAACCAAACTGCTCACTATATCATTCGGCAATTAAATCACGCCTGCGCGGGTGCATTCAACGTGACAGCAAGGTGGCGCGAGCAACAACGGAATTTCTACCGCAAAACGTCAGAAAGCAATTCCCACAATCATAGCGCTTACTGCCAGCAACCGCATCACCCTCTTAAGGCCCTTTACATCCAGTCGTAGTCAATTCAATGCAGTCTAGCGATGCCTACAATGCCATCGGTCACCTCCACACACCATCACCTCATCTTCGATATCCGATCACGTAAATCGTTATAAAAATTTTATAATACTAGGAAGCTGCGGAACCCGAATCTGGAAGTGCAACCAACTGATCTTTCCCAGTTGCGTCAATGAGAAATCAACACGCCCTACATTTTGTCCACTTGAGAAAACGGTTCATCAGAGTGTTAAAACAACCAATTGTATTCAAAATCAATCGCAAAAAGGTAAAGACGGGGAAGAGGAAAATATGTGCTGTCAAGGTAACAATGCAATCACAGTGGCTAAAACCTGTACTCAAACAACGAATCTGCACCGTTGTCGGAGTCAAAGGTCACCTTTTGTAAATCTGCCTCACCAGAGTCGTCCAAGTAATCGCTTTTGCCCATCACCGCCAACATTTTAGCCGCGTGTAACTGACAGACGAAAAGCAAGAAGGGAAAGGATAAAAAAGAAAGTCCTCCACAAAAGCTGAAAGCAGGAAGGAGACCTACCGATGTTACAATCTCTGGTGTGGACTGATGGGGCACGCAGGATGGAAGCTTCGAGTAGAGCCAGACAGCCTGCCATGCTAGAAGGGATTGACTAACAGGAGATTTCGAGTTCATTCCTGTAAAGAGGGAAGATTTGAAACTGTACAATGCTCAGTAGCTCTTGAAAAACAAATAAAGAAACAGGAACTCAAAAATGAAACAGCATATTGACTTGCATCTGGTGCATGAGTTTGTGGATGATAGTGAGACTCATCCACTCAGCAGTAAACTTCAATTGAATGGAGCCAGTACTTCAAAAATGTCTTCATGCATGTACGTCCAAGTTGCGGTTTTCGTCGGGTCACGATTGTCATTTTTTTAAAAACTTAGTAACCGAATTATTGAGTGCATACGCCTTTGCGAAGGCAGAAAAAGTTTTAAACCTCCGTGGCGGCAATGAACGCATACCCGAGGAGGTGAAATGTCAAAGGGCTAGAGCAGACTAAAAACTCATGAAAAAGTGAAGCAGACATTTCTATTTTTCAGACACCATTGATCAGTTCCCATCCTACTATATTCATTCGCTTCGCAAAAATCACGAGAAAATTATTTGGTCATTTTTCCTCCCCACTGATTAAGAGCAGACAAATTATCTTAAACAGTTACCCTGAGTATGCTCAAAGTGCATGTGGGATGCAAAACAAGTTTAGCCTAAGTAGAGGTTAGATAACCTACTCATATGGAACGCCAGGTGCGATGGTGGTAAGGTTTGAAATGAAATGGAATTTACCCACTGACCACTGGACCAGTTGCGGCATTTTGCCAAACAGCAAGCAGCTAGTGGTGAGTTCAAACAGCAGTTGGTTGATATATCAACAAGATCAGGTAGTCCTACTGGATTCCTTTTTCGACATCCACTCAGCGAGAAATTATTTTAGAATTGGTTTTGAAAAATAGGCCATTGTAGTAGTTAAGGTTAAAATAAGGGCCGTCTCAAAGAACGGTTGAAAGGTAATCGCAATGTCAGGAGCAAATGGTTGCCGACACGCAACTAGTAAAACAAGTCCTACTTCCCGATGAACAGCTTGAAGGACATTATAAGCAGTGGAATTCAAAGAAGAGGCTACAGTTCAAAAAATTTTTTTTCTTTGGCCAATGTTGAGAGCTCAGAAAGAAAGTGTAAAGACTCTGCGCACCTTCTGCTGTGGCGCCCAGGTTGACAGACCTACTGTTTTCATAAAAAAACTTACTGTAGCTCACAGAAGTAAAAAAGTAGAACACGATGGGATTAAAAGAGGGCACTTTATTAACTGATTTCGTCGAACCTCAGAGAGCGTATACTACCGAAATAAGTGCGACTAGATCACAGGACAAATCCAATTGCACAGAGCAGTAAATATGCCAGTACTGACAAGAAGGTTCATCTTCTTAGCGTTATTTCATCACTCTATGCAATCGTAGTGATAAATAACAAAGACAAACAGATTGGCGAGACGAGACGCTTCTATGCGTTTGGTTTCTATGTCAAGAAGGTTTTCTTTCCTTTAAGCATATTTCCAACTTTCTATTTTACGTCTAAATTAAAGGTCCAAGAATTGTTAACAGAGCAGACTGTTGGGAGACAATGTTACCACTATCTCAACAAAAGCAGTTAAACAAGACCTAACCAAAAACTGTTACGATTTGTCACTAGGTTTAGAACACTGGTAGACTGAGTATCAAAGAGGCACAGCAATTCGTCAAACACATTTTTCGACGGCGATTCCGTAGAATAGCCCTCCTCACAAAGATCATCATCGGCCTAGTATCGACGAGAAAAACAACTCATTTTGGAGCTTAACCAATCTTCTCCCAGAAAAATGACCTCTGAGTTTTATCGTTCTTCAAACTCAAGTTTCCGAAAGCTAGACTATGCATCAATCAGCGATAACCAGGAGTAGTTCATCACAGCTCTCGGAAGACAAAATATAAACATTGCCTTCACTTTGACTAATATTTATAGTGAAAGGTCAGTGGCCAAGTTCTTAGCGAATCTTCTAAAAAAGTAGTTTCAGAAAGGTTTCAATGATATAACTTGACAAACAAAGGTCGGAATTATATGGCTAATTTCAAGGGAAAAAATAAACAGTTAAGTTGTAAATAGCATCTCTCAAAACGAACCCTTATTCAGAATTCGTCTATGATGAATCAACATCACAAATACAGAACTTACCAGTGAGTAGACTAACAATAGCTGCAACAACGAAACCAACGAGGAGGCAGAAGGGAGTAAGATAGAGGTAGGAGAGGTTAAAGAAAGAAAATGGATACGAAGGCGGATCCGCCCTCCGTATCGTCGTCCCTGCCACCAACGTGGTAATATTAGTCGGGCATCCAGCGATGGAGAGAGGGGGAGTCCAACTCTCCCTGAAGGTGGAGAAGTAAAGAGAGCCGACGATCATTGTCAAGCCAGAAGTCAGACTCGCAATAAAGCCCGTCAAGCCTCCCTTCAAAATAGCAGAAAATAATTACATCAACTCAGCTATACAGTAAAGAAGCAATTGCTGTGGATGGGAATGACATTAAGTAAGAAATGGGTGATGAAAGCAGTGAAATCGAGGTCAGTCCGCATTCAAAGCGTGAAACAACAAGATGCGACGGTGGCTATGTTAAAACCAACAGTTAAGTGGTAATGTCTCATATTGCACGCGAGTTGCCGGTACAATTGTCTTCAACAGATCCACTCTCCAACCATTCGTAACCAAGATACCACGCAACACAGCACTAGTCATTCGTACTCCCAAGATTCGACAATTAAAATGAAGGGCCTTTTAAACAAGTAAAGCAAACACAAAAGCATGCTCATACAAACGATTTCAAACATGATTTGATACATCGACAAGCTGCTCAACAGTAATCTGTGAAGTACGCTAAGCATGAAACTTTTAACTCTTCTAAAGTAAATTTCTTTCAGTAAAAAAGATACTCACTAAGGCCCGTATGCTCCCCACTATTTAAATGCATATCATCGACGTTTTACATCCCCGTTATGGGGATTCACTACCCTATATGACGAATCTGCCCATAATGGCGATGAAGAGATGAGGAGGTCATCAGTGAGTTTGGTGAGACCAAAAGGAAAGTCACCTCTAAGAAGCAATCCAACGATATGTAAAAAGGGCCCTTTAAGTTCCCATTCAATGTCAACGTAAATCTACCAATGCGAAGGGGCACAAAGTTGCCAAAACTTACAAGGCGAAACGAAAGAATTGAGACCTTGATACAAAAGAAAGAAGAGACGACAATGCTCTCTTTCACTTAGTGGATGAAGTGAAATTTGACAGAACTCGAGGAAAATCAGAAGATAAAGTTGCGAGATGAAGGGAGAAACCGAATCTAAACTCGATATTTCTTCCAAAACTCAGCAGCCTACATCAATTAGGTTCCAGAACCATCAACATGGGGAAGACAAGTTACAAGATTGAAGCTATTTGTTGAAAATCAAAGTTCAGTACTTAAAGAGCTCCATGCCAGTCCGATGTTCGAGGTCTCTTGCAAAATTATAATTAGCCAAGTGGATAATGGTGGGGAAGACAAGCCTCCAAACGGACCTCATTTCGGAGGAAAGCCGCAAGCTTACCCATTTGTTGACAAAGGGGCAGATCATACCAAGTGTGAATATAGTAAGGATTGGACCACCGATGGCACCGAAGATAGAAAAGGCAATGTGAAGCACACCAGCCGGCACGGCTTGTAGAAGAAAGGCCAGTCCGATTATGAGCAGACCGAAGGCAATGGCTATAATAATTTAGCGTTAGCAAGAAAAAAGGCAAAACCTAAAAGGGCACCTCTTTTACGCCATTTTAGCCCTGAATCTTCACTCAATATCCGTTTAGTTTGCGATTTATTTCAAAAATATGACACCAAATAAAAAACTAACATGATGGGTTTGGTGATCAGATTTTTTTTCACAAAAATATGCTCTCGTTTTAAAAGCATCCACTCATCATAAACATTATTAGAGCTAAGAGAGGCCTCACCAATACAACGTGCAATCAAAATGAAAGTTTTCTGATGAAGACTGGAGGATTTGAAGCAAGTTAGGTACACATCCATGAGGACATCTTCGACGAGAACACAAGCAATTCCGTTAACACCCGATGAGAGAGTGCTAGAGCAGTTACAAAAAATCCAGAAGCAAATTAAGTACTGCACAAAAGCATCATTGCAAAGTTTCCTCTTGTAATCTCAGACTGATCAAAAAATAGGAGAAGAGAGGTTCAGAACTAACCTCAGAGCGGCAGCAAAAAGAGTTGAGAGGAAGAGACCTCTCAGAGTAGGGATACCGCCAAAGAGGCGCATCACAAGATGCGGGAAGAGCTGATCGTATTCACTGATTTCTCCACTCAACCGAGGATCGCAGGTGGCAAAGACGGCATAGGCGATCAATCCGATAATCCCCTGTAGTGAAAGTAGCACCGCGTTTATTGGGAGTTGCAGATGGATGGCCCTAGAAACACAAAGATTCACCAACTTTCGCATCTCTCCCTCAACTACTAATCAGCCTGAAATAATGATAACAGTCTCCATCCTTCCTTCAATTTTCCTTTTAATTTAGTGTCTCGTTAATAAGAAAAGGTTCCAATATGGCGAAACGACGTTTACCAAAACTGAACTAGCTTCACCATAGACTTATTCAGCCCTCTACGGCCCAGTAATTCGTACCATGAGTCTCTCACCCTGTCCAAACGCCAATAGCAATGCCTTCCAGACTTTTCGAGGGATAACTCAGACGCCACTTTGGCGACAACAGAAACCGAACTAATGTCAAGAGGACAGAAGTAGCTCGGAAGTTGCTGCTGAGTACTACGCCAAAATCATGAGATCATGGACACGATAACTGAAGCTATTTGAAGGCTACCTACTGTAGAGAACTACCCCGATCAAGAACAAAGCATACAGTATTCGTTCTTTAACAGTGCATGATTGATAGCGTAAAGGCTACATTCATATCAAAAAAATTGGATGATAATGTTATTTTATAATTAGGTTGTATGCGAAAAAGGAAGTGATTGGCATAGCCAACAAATGTTTTCAATACCACAAGAAGTACCGATCGCTACATCGCAGTTTGCGATCAGGATAGGAAGCATAAACGGATTTAACAGTCGGAGCCCGATTCATGATAAAAGTTATTCATCGCGAAAAATTGTGCCCATCAAGCGGTTAAGTTTATAAATAAAAATCAAGGGGTGATAACAATGACTTAAATATTTCCGACCACCAGTTTGAGACATAAAAAGAATGGTAATTTTAGGCACACTTTCGTCACCTACCATACCTTTCCCCTTAATTGCCTTTGTCACCCAGTACCTGCGTCCAGCTCAGGGTTCTACCCTTCACCCGTTGCACGCTTTTGTTAACTGCCCAGATATATTTAAGATTTGCTTAGTATGGGTTTGCTGTACGGCAATTTAGTGATCCGTTTAAAAAGAGTAGCGTTATAAGACCTGCTGTTCTTTGTAACTCTGCTTTTGTATTAATAGGTGAACAGGAATTTATGAATAATCACCGACCCTCATTATAAAGCATGAGTGATCCGAGGCACCTCAATTCTTTCACCCTTAAAGCAGTTAAGTCCTTGAGAAAAACGACGGCTGCACTGAAATTGGCCGAGAGAGAGCTTACCGCTTGGCTGTTTTAAGATCCTTACAGGCGAGATAGCGCTGCACTTGCGTCTGATTGGTGGCGAAGATGCTCATTACCATGCCGGCGCCGCCGATGGAGAGCGTCCATGTTGAGTGTCGCACAAAAGGGTCCGGATTAATGCTGAGTAGAAAATTTGTGATCAGTGCACCTGGCGAGGGACACAAAATCCAATGGAAATGCACGAATTCACTGCATCAACTACACTAAGCCTACAGTCCTACAGATTCGCAACCTGATCTGGAGGAGGACTGAACTGCTATGCGTAAATGAACTCGTCTATTCAAGCTGCATGGCCATGTTTACCAAGAGGGGGTCAAATCTAGTCCAATTTCCTGAAGCGTCAAAACCTACTCAAAGATATTGAGCCTCTCGCCTTTTTTTGCAATGCGCCAGACCTTGTCAATGCCGCCAACTTGTTGACAACCGAAAACCATGAGCAGAATCAGACCGACGAACATGACGACTGACTGAAGAACGTCTGTCCACACCACAGCCTTCATTCCACCCTGAATTGGAATCAGAGATGGACCATAAATCTTTCGATTAGCAGGATAGTTCCGACATTATGAGTAGTTGTACTGTCATGACCGTTTTGCGATGATAGTAGGATTTTCCACTTTCATGCGCTTTGCCAGACAAAGTGTTATGTTAACCAACAGAAACACGTAAACTCGTCCACAACCTTTTATCACGTGCATAGACGGCCATACAATGATAATAAGTAGAGCTCCTTTTTCTCTGGTTTTCTGTCTTTAGTTGTCAGGGAGCAATATCTGTATAACAATGAGGCACTACTAAGGCCTGATGCTGTACGAACAGTCGAGTGTCGTTTTGAGCGCGACTCAATTCGCAAATGCTATCTTGTATATCCCATTTTAATGGAACAAAGTTTTGGGTTCCACAATAATACCTTGAAGAATTAGAGAAATCGTGTACAAAATATAACACGGTGCTAACTTATTTCCTATGCAACGACGCACCATGGCCGTGTAAAGCGTCCCAAGAATGCCAGTGGTTAAGATAGATGCCGAAACAGGCAAGCCGGTTACTAAAATATGAAAAACCCAATCAACAGTACATAACAAGCCCATGAAGGGTAAAGAGGAGCTTGCCCCAGACCAACAGATCTCGCTAAAAGCGAAGTAGAGCTTGCAGAACTCATGTGGATGAGATTTTCCCAAAATACATAGGGCAGAACTTCCCCACGTATGACAGAGACAACATTGTTCCAAAAAACCACATAGTGATAGGATGAACCTGACTACTCGATATTATATTTTACTCGATGAATAAAAAAGAAACTACGGCAAGAAGTCAAGATGCCTCTATCTACGAAACTAAATACTAAGTGATAAATCAAATCTAAGAGTGTTTCAAATGGAGGTTACCTCTGCTCAACGCTAAGGCGGGTGCATAGAGGACCACAGCAATGTAAACCACCTACAAATAGTTCAAAAAAGCAATAATCTAGGGGTCGAACGAGGCTACCGACCATCAAACAATGCATGAGAACAGAAATTCTAAATCCCTGAGCCAGCACAAAATTTGAATGCCAAGGGCAATGGAAACAGATTTTCGAATGAAAAATTGTACTTCAATGTACTTCGCAAGCGTACCATTTGGAAGCAAAAGGCCACTGTAACAAGCCAACGTAAGACGCGACAAAATCGCAACTCCAAATACTAAAAAGCAGTGAACCAAAGGTCTTCAAACCTCATGTCCACTGGCAAGATTCAATTTGTAAAGTACGGGAGCGTATACTTCGGCAGCAATAGGAAAACTTATGATGTAAGCAAAAATTAAGTTCAGAAATTCGATGCCGAATAAGTAAAACTCCGAATTGTTTCCCATGAGTGCCACTGCCGACATAAAACTGGCCAACGTGCTCCCAACGATTGGAAGAAGCGACAATTGTCTGTTAGCCAAAAACATTTCATCGACACCCGTGTTTGTGTCTTTGGAACCTGTTTCTTCAGTTTTTCTACGGCATGCACGGCGCCAAAATTTAAGAAAATAGGATTTGAAGCCATAAAATATCCCTATGAATGTATACAGAGCGAGGAGAAATGCAGTCAAGAGATAATCGGGCCAATCCAAGAAATCCGACATCCTAATAACCAACTCGCAACATTGGGGAGACCTCAGGGGTGCTTTTATTAAAATAGGCTGAGAAGGACAAATTAGACAGGCGCATCCAATAGCTATAGAGGTGCAACTAAAGTCGTTTAAAGCATCACATAGAGCCGAAAAATGTATTTTGATTGTCTGCGCATTCGTATGCAGAAACAACCAACTCGCCTTTAATTGTCCTGTCAAATAAAGACTTGGCTTTTTTAGGTTAAAAGGTTGGGCTTAGATGTAAATCAGTTGCACATTCCATGCAATGCTGGTACGCGTTTTTACATTAAACTGCAATGTTTCGCCGGCTCAGTCCTAAATATTTTGGTTACCCAGAGAATGTTTGCCTCCGGACTCCATTAAAGCTACATCCCTTCCCTCTCCGTTTGGTGGCATGCATTCAGTACCATTTAGTGCGAAGTCTTGAGACCCTATTTGGAAGTAGTGGGACACTGCGAGTATTTTATTTATTGATTTATTAATCCCTCTCATTGAAAATCATTCAAATCGCTACGATTCTGTAATGCTGATGTCCAAAACTCTCAAGGAAACTCTTGACCATCTTTAGCCCTTAATAAAGTAACCCACTCGAATGTAAATAGATTTACGTGTCCACAAATTTTGGTCTTCAAGAACATTGCAGCAATGTTAAAAGCTGTTCTTACTTAATGGTGAATCTTTTTGGAAAGTTTCGTTTTGTTTACGCGACTCGAATACAGCAATACCGCCGCATCCTTCGGATTTTGACTTTGGAGCTTCTGATTTGTCCTTTGGCTGTCTCGCCGCTTTTTGTTATTTTTCGTTCCGACCTCATTTTCGTGGTAAATTTGGGTGCTCTACCTGGTTTTTAGAGAACCGTTTGTTGAATTTCTTTCCATACATGTAGTAGTCTGGCTTCTGTCTAACCTATTTCACTGGTTTACTTGGCGCAACGTTTGTTGGCTGTGATTTCCGTTTATTCTTTTCTTTATCTCTAGGGCATAGTATCTTTCAATAGTTTCTGCACTGCTTCAATCATGACAAACATTACCAGATCCAATTTTCCATTTGCCTTTTAATGGTTGCATTTTATTTTTCCTTTATCTAGGTCGTATTATGCCACTTATTTCGGAGCCTAAGCAAACAAGTTATAATGATACGGATCCTGATCCTTGCGTTTTGGAGCGCCTCTTTGAAGAGGCGCATTCCGAATTCGATCGTAGATTAGCAGCAAAGCGTGTTATCTTTGATCGGTACCTTGAAACTCGCGTTAACTGGCTCCGCATACAGCTCATGCGTGAGGCTGAGGCTACTGATTCTCTAGGCATGAATCACCTTGACTTTCTGCGAATCTACAAGCCAGATTTGGTGCCTGAGGCAAGTATTGTTTTCCCTCATGTTCTGACTTTCAAATCTAGGAGTACCGATTAACGAAGGATGAAGGAAAAAGTCAGAGGGCGCGGCAGCCGCCGCGAATTCCTCCATCAAGCGCTATGCGAGTAATTAACACTGTTCGGCGTGTAGCAGCGCGCTCCAGACTTAATCAGGTAGTCATGTCATCACTTTGTCTTGTTACGATCTGATGCGTTTTTTTCCAGCACCACACTGCTTAACATTGCATCAGCCGTGCATGTAGTGCCTTCTCAACGTTGTCTTGCTGGTTGATTATAGTGTAAGAGTGTATTAAGCGTTTGATGTTTTCTTTAAAATTACCCTTCTATTAGTACGTTCTCAAGTTCTTTTTCAGTGATTGGATTGGCAGTTGAATGCTACCGTTACTGTCTTTTGGCCTCAGCCTTGGTCTTCGAAGTTGATAATAAATGTCAAGGCTAAGTAACTCTTCGCTTCAACTAATACTTAATTTTTCTTTCAAAATTTGACTAATCTTGTGCAGGTGTTTAATTGAAAGGCAGTTGCAATAAATTTCTTTGCAGGCTACTTCAACTCCATGCCTCTCATCAACGAAAGTACCACCAACCGCGGCGAAATCTACTATCGCGGCGCGGACTCGAAGCAACCGAATGTTGAACTCGACTAAGGCAGTAGCAGCAAAATCCAAAGGATGTACCACGGAGCTAAGGCATGGTCGTACACGTCGTGCAGCTGCAACTGATACTTCCACCAGACTCAAGAATTCTTCGGCTGCCACCAACCAGTCATCCATTCTCCGAAAACCGCCTAAAACTAGTGTTTTTGATCGGGTAGGTCATCGAACTTTTTCGGCTGTTTTTGTGGTTCAAGAACTGCCCGGTGGGTACTGCTTCTAATGCAAGTGTTATTATTTGAAAACAGTGCTTTGGGCTGAAGAGACGGTTTCAGCAAGGGCCATTTGAAGCAGATTTTAAGGTTGTATTTTTCTGGCATAATTCGAGCAAGGTCTGGATCTGCTTTAGCTCCTGTTTGCCACCTTTTAATGTCTGCCTTTATCACTTGTAAGAGTTCAAACTGTTCCCTTTTGGTTTCAATCCTTGCGCCTGCCTCTGTTCTGTAAAGGAGCTCCCAATTTTTGGTACGGTACGATATTCTTCTCCTGCCTTTGAGAAAGATGTACCAGAGTGTTGAATAAGGGAGAGTCATTGCCTCGCCTTATCATCTGCAGCCAAGGTGAAACCGTCCATTAAAGCATTCCCTAATTTACTACCTCCGGATTCCACTTTGGTTTCGCTTGCATTGATATCTGGGTGCTTGCTGCATTTGGGCTCGCCTTGATTCGGTAAAAATTTCTGGCAAAGGAAGGTGATTGCTGGAATTAGGATATCAGATATAGTTTTACCTGAAGGATAGGATTGCCTTTCGAAAGCCTTTTTGTGGTCGTTTGTTGATTTGACGGTACCCACGTTGATATCTCATGCCTTATTGAGGGTTCTGATTTTTATCATTTAAACTATGTGCGTTCTCATTCCCTTTATTCCTGCCCCTAGGAGTCCGTTTTGTATGCGTTGTCCGGATCCCCAGTTGCCAACCCGTTTGCACATCTCAGCAAAGATGTCGTAAGGAAGATCAAGAAGATCATCAGTGAGGAAAGATTTTGAAGTCGGGTATTATGTACTTTTTTAAATACAATTTTGCTATATAAGCGCCTCTTATGTATCGCTTTTCACGATATTTTTTTTTAAGGGTTATTTCAGAATCAACACGTAACTGCTTTTCATTACTCGGAAACTGCGTAACAACTCCACTAGATGTTCCGTTCTGCATTCCATATCCAGTGAGCTGGGTATGTGGAAATGGAATGGAATTGGGTGAGCATTGTGCTGATTTGCCGCATTGTGGTGGAGTTTGTTGGGTCGGGAAAAATGGGGCGCATTATTCTCTCATAGGCAGGATCACGGTTCATTTAGTTGATTAATTTAGAGCAATTGCGCGGATACGGCTCTTGCTCCTCTGTAGCTTGAGTGTTGAGAGCAACTAGTGGGATGTACGATTTGTGTCGCCACATCAAAATTGCGCTAAGCGATTGACTTCTGACCTGTTCAACGTGTACGCAGTCACAGATGATCGTCTCTTATTAGTCTTGGAGGAATTGTTGCTGAATCATGCCATTTGGGTAATAAGGTCTAAGTGCAAGGTCGTCAAAAACCTGCAGTCTTGCTTCCACTTACTATATTTTAGAATAAAAGCTCGAATAACTCCTTCTTCCGTTCCACGGCAAGAGTGAGTATCCGTCAGTTCTACCTTTAAATTTTTTTGCTCATTGACTACCTTTTCCTTCCCTTCGGGACCACTACGAGACGCAGGCAGCGCTGCTGTGGTTTGCCACCTCAGCAAGCGGTGTCTGAAGTATGGTTCTCAATTATGTGCACTGGTGATTGCGAGGATTACCACGCTGAAGGTTCGGCGCCTCAGACTGGTCAATACGGCAGCATTAGGGGACCAGCAGAGCATCCATTTTTACCAACTGTCTGCGAACACAAGTTTCAAGGGTTGTTGTAAGGGAACTAGGCGTGTCGATCCTTCTCTAAAGAAGTGGGTGGCGTGTTAAATTCACAGGCCAACAGTTAACCGGCATTTACAGGCAACTGGTATGAAGGAACGGTGGGCCAGCTGTCTAAATCACATTCCTACTATGTGTTTGATTTTCTGCATTCTCGTGATGCCAGTGGACCATTCTGCTGCCACGGGATTTTTTGTCTCCCCATGCTCATTATGGTAATGTTCTAGGCCAATTTTCATCTTTTGCTTATTTTATGCTGCCAATCTCCGCCAAGCATTGAAGTGGTACCTTCTGCTCTTAACCACTCAAACTCCATTGCCTTACAATGGGTTTTACCTTTCTTAATTGTGCTCTTGTAGCTGTCACTGTCGCAATGTTTTCCCAACTGATCGGCTTCTATCTGATGGTTTTATTGAAGACAAAGGCACCTACTTCACAATCAAGCAGTCAATGATGTTATTCAGCTCCGGGTCAGACCTGCCATATCCAATTATCACTAAAAAAATTTGTCAAATCATTTTCGGTAAGTGTTTTACAGGAGTTGCAAGTGTCGAATTTAATTCATAAGATCAGTGGTGCAAAAGTAGAGGAAAATAAGACAGCACCAAACCCTGTCCGACCGCCAACAGATTCCATCTTATGGCAGCCAAACTCACAGCCGCGTCCAGTGTTCATTGACTACTGAAATCGCAAATCAACCATCCAACCAGCGTTTGACAAATTAATGTGGACAAAATTGGATCAAAGAACTCTAAAAACTATTCATTTGTGGATGTCACGCAAATGGTGCTCGGAGTTGATTAGAGAAAACCACTTCTTTCACCCTAACCCTCTTTTTGCTTTCTATGGCATGATGCAGCGCCTTGTTTGCTATTTGAAGGCCCTTCGCAATTATTATACATTGTTCCCGAGGCTCCTAATTTATTGAGATGCTGAACGTTCCCGGAGAACCGATTCTTCCACATCCCGAACTACGAGGTGGGGCGATGGAATTTACTTTATGTCAGCGTCTCCATCACACATTAAGTAATAGAAAATCACTTTCAAAGGGCAGAACAGATTAACTCCACCATTTAGAGTAGGGTTTTTTTGGAATTTGAACGGCTATGATTTGTCCTAGAGTCGTCCGTTACACTGCACTCCTCACTGATTGACAAAAAAAGAAAGGCATCAAGAGCCATCAAAATAGAGATTGAAAGAGACTCGTCAAACTTCTTGTCCACGGTTGGAAGGGAATGGTAGGACTGGAACAAGAATGCATCAAGGAAGGAATCCGCCCTGCCTTCTTATCGGTTGCACCAGTGTTGTGATTTAACACAATAATATCGGCATTTTTTTTCCGACGAAGTTTTTTTCTTTGCAGCTATTGACCATTTGAGAGAACAAGCACCATGTCACAGTAAGTGAAGGAGCGTCTGCAAATGGACACCTCCATCAACCGCATTTTCATTCAATGACCCGATGTGCTTCATTGCCTAGATCAAAACTGACACTGAGGGAGTTTATGGAATCTTGAGTGGACGACTTTTAGTAGATCGCGACATTCCAATATAAGGCGAGGTTTCTCCTACGCTCACTTCTAAATTCCATCGATTGGTGAAATGTGATGGGGTCAATCTCATGTTTTCCATCACTCTAGAGGAACAGCTATCGGAAATGAGTGAACTTATCAGACTGTCCGAGCAACAGTTGATGAACTGTATCAGGTCTGCTAATAGTCTTCACTGCAGTGGTAGTTTATTTTACTACGATCTGGGCTAAGTTTACTGTTGTGTTGTTTGTAGTCCATTTCGGCAGCGTTACTATTATGCATACACGCTTCATTCACTAAACTTTTTCGCTGCCTCTATTGCATCTGTCATTTAACACCCATTTGCCTTCCTCTACTTATATAAGACTAGTAGCAATGTCCACGCAATTGCTTAAACCCCTACTTGGGTGTTGGTTTAAGCATTAGTTGACCTTCGAGTCAGCATCTACGGACAAAACAACAGTCGTCAACTCCTCTTCTATTTTCTCATAAGAATACCCGATGCAACCTTTCAACAAGCGACTGAAATTGCTGGTTTGTGCATTAAATGAACCTGGATGTCTGTCAATGGTTTTGGCCTTTCATGTCTATGCGACCGAGTTTCTTTCTCCCATTGAAAAATGCGCTCTAACTAAAGCGCTTTTTCCCGATGGCTCATATCTGTCCATCCTTTCAAACAAAGCTTTACATGATGCTGTAGTTCAATAAGGCAGTAGATGATGAAGGAGTTGCGAAATGCGTTGAGTGTCATCAGGCATAAGAAGAGATCAGTCAATGAATCAGTACACTCGTACGGAGACAGGATTCGCAGTTTACAGTCATTCACGATACCTATACCGAGGCACAACACTTGTGGAATTTTCATGCTCTGGCTGATTGAACCAGACGTGTGCCCATTAACTCCCGTAATGTGTCTGTTTGGTGGCAATTTTGTTAACACAGCTGCTGAAGGCGGCACTTGCGCATCTTTTCAGAATGCGTCTAAAGCGGCGTTCGCCTGTGTGAATTGGCTCTCGCACCTCCCTATTGAAAGACGCACTAAAGTTGGACGTTAAATCATCAAGGCGATTTCCTCTCTTTGTGCATTCAAAGCGGCCGAAACTATGATTCGCACTCACCTCACTGTTATTTGTTTTCGTTTGTATGACATACGGCGCAGAGTGTTGGACCCGTGCCATTTGCACCAATAGTAGGGAATTATTACAGTGGGTCTTAATGCTGCGACCTTCCTTGTGGTGATTTATTCTGCATCAGTCAACAAAAGATGGCTCCACCATACTGCACTGCCAGGAGCAATCAGGCTAGAGTTTTCTTTTGAGAGCACCATTTAAATTGACCAAAAATACAATTTTAGTCGGTGTTACCCCTGAAAATCTGCTCCACGTTGACAACTATCCCTTTGCAAATTCTTGATAGCGAGCTTTACACCTGCCGCTAATTAGGTGCCTTCCATCATGATTTACCGATGACGGAGTCCAGAATTGGATGGCTGAAAAGCGGGGCTAGTATCCGGAAAACGGAATTCTCTTTTTCTTTGTTATTTTGTCATCATCAAGCTCCATACTCAAATAGGTCCTGGTGTTCTACTGCAGTAGTGGTTTGCAGACAGTGAAGAGGCACAGCGCGTCGCCTCATGAAGGCGATCTGTTGGTGTGTGGATGATTAACGTCAGTGGGGTGCATTTGGTTTATTCATTTGCTCTGTCCCATAAATTAAGGCGTATTATAAACAAAAGTCTAAATTATCGTACCTGAGTGTACGACAGCGGAATTTTCCTACCGTATTTTTAAAATAAAAGTTCCCTTGTGTTTAACCGCATTCCGTGTAGATGTTGGACGTAACATTTGGTTCCAGCTTCGAAAGCCACCTGTCTCAGGGAGCTGTCAAGCGTATTTTGAACCCTAAACTGGCACCATACTGAACGAGTGGAGTCTCGTTATGCTACTTTGGAAGGGAGACGTCTTTTACGGATGCTAGAATCCGGGGAAACTCGCAGCAAAGTAACCGACAAAATGTTTGATAGCTAAGCGACCTCATTTAAACTGATGTTTTCTCAAGTTCTAAGAGGCGACAAATAACCCAGATAGTCATATGGATAACGTTTTGCAGAAATCACAATGCAGAATTTGGCATACTGATTATCCTTCGGAGACATCTATTCTTCCGAAATGAATCTCATCGGCTTACAGACCTACAATATGGTGGAATCGTCATCGGTTTACTAGCAGGACAGTTGGTCGGTTCTTCTGTTAGGCCGTTAGAAATAGAACTTATTTCACAAATTTTGTTTTTTTTTTCTTCTCCATCCGCCTATTTATAACTGAAGTGGGCATAAAATTTGACTTATTTCTCACACAGCTTCATGTTCATAAAATTTGGTTCACTAGCATTGCTATCCGCGATTCTTGAAGATATCCCATTGTAGGATTAAAAAGGCAATCAGAAATCTTACGTCTTAAGGAAGAGAGGCTGTTCACTTAAATTTTTAATGCAATAAGTGAAAAATGCGTGGTGCCATATCGTTGGTAAGATGGACGGTGCGCAAACAAATTCTTTTCCCTCATGAG